TCAGCGAGTGCTACCCTTGACAATTAAACAACTACTCGGACCACTTGTGATAAAATGGCGCACACACATTTGAAAGGCCCTGGGTACCAACTAATAATAATCAGCTCAGAATCATGGCTACATATGGTGTATGGGAACAGATCAGTAATATCGTTAACACAGGACACACACCGATTGCACGGCGGTCTTGGTATTATAAAAATTTGGTAAATTTAAATGCGGTTCCTGAAAACAATCGTATTTTGAGAAAGGCATTAATCCGAAGGCACTACCCCCCGAAAGAAGAATTATTGGCGAGGCGCACTGGGCGGGCCCGCGCGATCACGCGTTTTTGCAGTGTTTCGTGCTGTGAAAAGATCACTCGAAATTCTGCTAGCTAGAACCTCTGACACATTGGTCCTCGAATTTCAGGAAGTTAATTGTTCACGCTACACTTGGACAAGGGACATTCCCTTGAAATCCCAGGTTTCCAGCTTCCCCAGTTCCCGAGTTAACCGAATTCCAGCCAGAAAATTTCGCGGGACCGTATATGGCAACCACGCACGATTGGGGCTGGATTTGATAAATTTAAGTAGTAGATGTGCTAGAAACAATTCCTGAAAGTTTCAACCTCTCAGCTTCCCTGGTTCCGGAGTTATCCATTTTTCCGCCAAAAAATTTCACGAGGTCATACGTGACAAACACGCATAACAGGGCTGAATTTGATAAATTCAAGTTGTAGATGAAGTGGCAACATTTGTCGAAAGTTTCAGCCCCCCAGCTTTCTTGGTTCCTGAGCTAGCGATTTTCGCGCCAGGAACCCTCACGGGGCCGTACGCGGGAAACGCGCACACCTGGGGGCTGAATTTAAAATCTTTGACTTCCATATGGACAGGAAACATAATCCCAAAATTTCAGCTTTCTAGCTTTTCTGGTTCCCAAGTTAACAGTTTTCCTGCCAAAACTTTCAGGCTCTCGCACGCGGGGCCTAGATGTGCGTAAAGATTGGTACCGCGGTCCTGGGGTGGCACTTGGCCGGAGAACCCAATTGCAAAATTTCAGCGCCGGAGCTTGCTTGGGTGCCGAGTTGAAACACTCGGACAGACGCACACACACACACGCACAAACACACATACACACACACACACACACACACACCGGGGTCGTCACAACATGCGTCTTCGCATTTGCATATATGCAAAAACGCATAAAAACCACTTTCTATTATTTGACCGCACAAATGCCTACTCAGGCAGTTCACTATTACGCTGCTAGCACCGTTGAACCAAAACCTCATTTTGTTGTTATCATCCGAGTTAAATTACAGGAATTTAAAAAAGTTTTCTTGCCGCGATCTTTGTGCGGTTGTACGTTGCACTCAGACCACAAAAAGGACATGGATGCGCCAATGTCAGGCATTCAGTCGTACGTCGGAAATAGCGCCAAAAATGGCTTATCGGGCGAGCTTAACCTTCCGGAGCGAAGCGTCTCGATGATAGTGATCGGTTCCACAGCAACAAGAGACTCGAACTTTGTGCCATCAAATGTTATTGGGTAAGTTAGCACAAACCCTTAAACTAGTTTTTAAATCCCAGTGAAACCAGTTTTGTTAGAAACCAACTTTAGATACGTGTCTCAGATTTCACCAGTGTTATTATATTTGACACTTCACTTAGTGATGCAAAAACTGCGCTAATAGAACTATTTTTTTCAGTTTCTTTTGACTGTGAGTCTGTAATAAGCACGCTCAAGAATTAAATTTATCTTTAGCTTGCTCGTCAAGCAAATAGAGAAGACTGTCAGAATCGTTGCCAGGAGATGTGCCCGCTGTTATTAACAGTGCGATCTTCTAACAGTTAACAGATGCTTTTTTTCCCCTCGCAGACAACCGTCTTTACAGTAAACAATAAAATACAGAAGGAGTTTATGCTTTCTTGATGCATTCCAAAGATAGAGTGACGAATCGCTGCCCTCGGAAGTGGAAACAGCCACCAAAAATAGCTCATCAAGTCACTGCTAACTTCGAGTACTACCCAGTGAAGGACCAGAACGTTCATTAGTTGACTGTTTCCCAATAGTTGGTACTAAGAGACTGCTTAAAACTCCTCCCTTGCCTTTTTTTTAGCAAAGTTCTGGCTTCGCCACTAATCAGCCTACGCTGGATCCGATGCTTCAATAAAAAATTTGTACAAATTTGTTGTAGCTAAATCACAGTGGTGTACTTGGATCTTTGACTTATTTGTAGGAACAACAGACGAGTTTGCCCGGCCGTAATCATAACATCTGCTTCACCCGAGAAACACCAATCAGAACCTCTGGAAGTTGATGTTC